ATGAGTTAATTTTTAATGGAATTTTTTTTTGCTCTGTTTTTCTGAATTAATGAGTTAATTTTTCATGAGAAAAAAAAAATTTTGCTCTCTTTTTCTGAATTAACGAGTTAATTTTTCATGAGAAAAACATTTTTGCTCTGTTTTTTCTGAATTAATGAGTTAATTTTTAATGGAATTTTTTTTTGCTCTGTTTTTCTGAATTAATGAGTTAATTCAGAAAAACAGCAAAAATAAATTTTCTCATGAAAAACTAACTCATTAATTCAGAAAAACAGAGCAATTTTTTTCTCATGAAAAATTAACTCATTAATTCAGAAAAACAGAGCAAACATTTTTTTTCTCATGAAAAATTAACTCGTTAATTCAGAAAAAAAGAGCAAAAAAAATGTTCTCATGAAAAATTAACTCATTAATTCAGAAAAACAGAGCAAATTTTTTTCTCATGAAAAATTAACTCGTTAATTCAGAAAAACAGAGTAGATTTTTTTTCTTCAAGTGAATGCAATACGCCTCCGTAGAAACATTACACTTACACATAAAGCTAGTTTTCCATTTCTGTATAAGCCCAGGACTGATAGAAATACTGATTTAACCTAAGTCTAGGTTTATGTACTGTATCTGTGCATAATTTTGCCATATATACTGATCAAGGTCAGTGTTTTGATTAAAGAGCAAGAGTCTTTAATGAATTGTATAGGCATTCACTGTAAATTTATATATGTTAAGATCCAAGGTTTTTTTAAAAGCAGTATACTGTGACCTGCTTAAATAATCAACGCACCACGGAGCCTAATTTCTGGCAACACTCTTCTGGTGATGGTAGCAACTGTGGGGACATGCCATTGACATGAGCTGTTAAAACGATTTAAAACATACTGACCATTCACCAGAATCTGCAGCTTTTGCAGTGTGCTGACCTCTTATTGTAACGGCCTCGTATTGACCACAGAGAGACGGAAACCATTGTGCATCATTACACTCGTGTGTTGACAAGCAGTGCCGTGAGCCAAACATCTGCACACTCTAGGAGCAGAGCAAGAGTTCTGGCGCTGTCTTCACCCCTTCTTGCACTGCCCAAAGATGGTACGCTCCAGTTCACAGCAATATGAGATTCCAGATTCATCCAATACCAAATGTCCAGGGGAGATTTTTGGCCTGAGGTCTGTGAAAAATTATTTAGAAATATCTTACATGGAAAGAATCAGATGTCTCTGGGTTAACTGCTACCAAGAGAGATTCTTATAGTTCCACCAGTCCTTTTTTCTTTAGAGGTACTCTTCTGACAGACTGGTGACCAGTGGTCTGGACTTTTGACAGATGTTGACTGTTATCTGTAAGTCAGAGTGGATACAATGGGTCCTGCAGGAGCGATCTGCAATGCCGTTAGCATTTTGGAGTGAGTTATTGATTACTAATACTTTAGCAATGCAGTGGTGGGTTAAATGGGTGGAGAACAACATTTGCATTGTTTTGTTTTTAAATTGTTTGGCTCAAGTTTCCAGACCTTTGACTGGATGTCTGGTCCATATTACAGCTTATTCTTGCAAGGCCCACTTATAGCAGCTTGACTGAAAGCAATCAAACACAGTTAGTCTTTTTGAATTCTTGCTTCCATTAGGTCAATGTGTTTTGTGAGAAAGGTTTTAATGAGAAAGCTCAGGATATTTTTACATTTTATTTTATGAGATAAAAAACATCAGTAATACCCCTCTCATGTTTATGGTGCGTTCACATGCTATGGAAAATATGATATTTTCCACTTGTATCATTGTGTGAAAAATTCTAACTTTATAAATTTGTGGTTAATAAGCGGACACAAAAACATTTACCCTTTAAAATACAAAAATTAATTTGAATGATGCAGGCATAGCATTAGCCTATAGTGGTCTTTTGACAAAAACAGAACAAAGCACCAATATAAAACGTTTTAGTCAATAAAATGCCTTTCTAGATGCTTTTCTGCCACAACATGGCTCTGCAGATGGACGCAGTCCAAGGGCCAACTGACAAATCAGAAGTCCTGGGAAAAGGCGACAGGGCGAAGAGCTCAGCGCTGTGATTTTTGTTCAGTGTCTCTTCTTCCCTTTCTCCCTCCCCATCCTGAGGCCTCAATGGTCATGCTCAACTGCCTCAACAGAGAGACACTCTTTTTTGGCCCTTTTCATTCGTCTGTGCCCCTCTTTGCCTCTTCCCAGCCATTTGCCCTCTTTCAGTCCCTCTCGCCCACATCTCAACCCATAACACCCCCCGAAACGGTTTCTCTCTCTCGCCCGCCCTCACCCCCTCTGTGTGACTGGGCTTCCTTTTTGATAGCTGACCCCTCCTTGTGTTATTATTCAGGTCCACCATTGTATAACATGTTTCTTTTCTACGGCGCCTACAAAGGCAGCATTTGATCAGAGGGTTACGGTGTGCGGGTCGCAGAAATGCAACTACACGGTGGTAACCTTTGTTTGGGACAGCAATGGTGGGTTGACCTCATCTCTTCTAAAGCAAAAGGCCCAAGCTATTCAAAGGCCCAGTCTCACTTGCTGAGCACATTCAATCGAGACCGGCCTGTCACAGATATTGCCTCACAGTTATCTGAGGCTCAGGCCTCTTTTTCTGGGAGTTCGACTGCTGGGCCAAAAACATAACAACAGCTATACGGTCCTGGAGGTATACCTCTTGAATAGACCCGAGCATGCCCTTGAGGTTTCTCTCAGGCTGCTGTTGTTGTCAACTGAATAAGCCTGACTCTGAAAGAAACTGGCTCCCAATTTGGGCGACTTGTGTTCCTGGAGGCCTTCGACTTTAACCCACACTTGTCGTCTTCGTGTTCTTGATGCGCCCACACACATACAGTATGATCTATGAGAGCGAGAATTCAACCCATCAGTTAATGATCGCGGACTCCTTCAAAGCAAATTCAGCGTAGAAGCGCATCTCAAAGGAGTCGAATCAATCACGCTGCAAATTTTAAGTTCCCACAAAAGAAGTTTAGGGAGTCAATGAATCACACAGCCTATAAACTTGTTAAATCAATACTTTTACATGAATTTAATACACGCTCTAAAATAAATATTTCCACTTTTTGAAGTATCTTACAATCTTCCAATAAAAAATATATAGTCATGTACAAACAATAAAAATGCTTTTTGATAATGTCACTACACATCATGGAATCATGGAATTATCAGTAGGTAGCTGCCATGTTCACTGTCAGAATACAAAATTAGCAAAAACAGTACCCTTAATGTGTTAGAGCTTACCTCAGAGTAGTGGTATATACCCTTTAAGGGGTAAATGAGGTCCAAAGTTGTCCCTTTATAGGGGTTCTATTATGTCCTTTTACAAAGTCTTGATTTTTTTGGGGGGGTGTACTAAAATATGATTTAATGCTTGATTTTTTTAAAAAAATTTTTACTTATGTTTACAAATATTATATTTCGAACACGTCATTAGTTCCAGTTTTGATGAATCCTCTCCTTCCGAAATACAAAAAGTGCTGTGATTGGTTAGCTGGCCCAGTGTGTTGTTGTAATTGGCACCATGTGTTCGGGAAATGTCACGCCCCTTAAATTAACTGCAAGTTTCATCTGGTCAGGTGTAAATATTAAGGATCAATTTCAACCAATTCAAGGCTGATTCAGACTTAAAGGAGAACTCCGATCAATTTTAACATTGAGCTAATTTTTTCTGTTCATTTGGAGTGCTGTCAGTACAGACAAAAACGACAAAAATCTGTGTTGCCTACACCGTGTTATCGTCTTTTTAAAATTCGCAGCCTGTTGACTTCAATGGGACAAGTTCTAAACCTGCTTTTATCCTCTTAACATCCTTGATTTGTCATTACGAGTGCACAGCCATGTGAGTGGTGTTATTAAGAGTGACCACGGTCAATCTGACTGCAGGACATGTGAAAGATATTAATAAAAATGACGTTAATTCAGCCAGCTCACATACCTCTATTTGCGAGTAGTATGAAGCTGCAGACTCGGAGACCTGCATCTACAGTCCCCCTGCACCCAGAGCCCCTCATTCTCAGACCCCTCGTTTTTCGAGACAGCTCCTCCTATCAAATTGTATCGCATAAACATGTGAAGAACTTAAGCCAAAACGTGAGTAGGCTATCTTCAATTTTATTTAGCGAATCGTAGTAGCCTATTCGTTTTAATAAAACTAATTTAGCTCATCGATACAACATATGAATAGTCCATTTAATATTTGTAAAGATAGTTTGTAACAAGATTTGAGCCGTTAATGTATGTTTTTTCGCCCTCTTCCCCCAAAAAATATTTAGATAGCTAGCGATAGCCTTTAACCTTGGACTTTTTGTAGAAATGTCATAAATGCTGCAGTTATTTTCACTGCCCATTTTGTGCCCCCATATATTTCAAACCCACAAAGTTGTCCAAAGTTCAAAAACATCTCAAGGGACACTTCAACAGAGCAGTGCAACATGGTAGCTAACATTTGCAAACATCTTTTTTCTTTTTTTTTGAAACATCATAAGACATGTGCTATCGGTCCTATGTTGTAAGCTATTCCAGGGTACACCATACATCGATGGCGTTGCCCCTGCCGAATCCAGCAACATATCATTTTATGATTATGCAAAGCGACTTATAAATTAGTTTTTTTTAATGCAATTGAAGACGAAAAGTAAAGTCACGAACACAGTTTTTTCTTCCTTTTTTTCTTTACAGCAAGATGATGTTTAAGTGATTATTAAATGAAGTACAGAATTATTTATTATTGGTGTTTTGTCTATTCTGATTTGTTTTGCTTCGCATTCAAAATATCAAAAAAACAGATATTGTAATGTTAGCATGGTAATGTTAATTAGACCATTATAGGTTGAGCTGAAAGAAAAATTGGAATTTGAATTAAAAAAATATAAAAAAAAACATTGTAGCAATATAATATCACATACTATTTTTCTGAAGATAGTTCAATCTGTAATTGTATCTCTTCCATCAGTAAAAATGATTTTTTTGGGCACATGCATTAAGCAGGGAACGCAAATATTTATTGGATAATTTATTTGGAGAACGTAATATTGCATCCTATTGTTTTTTATTGCATTTGGATAATCGTGTGCTGTACTCTGTGTGCGGGATCTTTTGAACAGCAGGAGGCGCTGTGTTCGAAAAACGAAGGGTCTGAGAATGCGGGACTCTCGGTGGGGGACTGTAGATGCAGGCTCCGAGTCTGCAGCTTCATAATATTGCTATTTGCTTCCTGTTTTCGGTCGAAGCTCACAGTAGTCGACTGTCGACCTCACACGCGCGATCATTAGTGAATATCATCTCAAACCTACAACTGTGTGGTGTTCTGAGAATAGTGGAGGCAAAGCTTTGCCCTTTTCTTTACATTGTAGAAACTACATATAACGTATAATTGGAACTGTTAATAGAAAACATAACAGGACATAGCTCTGGAAAATGGGGGACAAAACAGTGTCTCTTTGCCATAGTGACAACATTGTCTTCTCTAATGCAGCTCATCCAGGCCTAGTCCCCTTATTTGCGTTTTCTGTGGGCAGATATTATGAAACTGAGTAACATTATGAGTTAACAAAGCCCGGAATAAAAAGCATTGTTGTCCAAACGAGTCGTTTGCTGTAGTTCTTGGAAAGTGGATTCTTTTAAATAAAATATCTTTAAACTTTGTAACCTCGCAGATATTTTTTTATGCTTTCTTTATGCACATTACAAACTAACTATAGTTGAAAAAGTTAAATTGCATAATAGGACCCCTTAAAAAGTACTGACCCTGTGGCAAGCTATGTGTTATCCCAAAAGGTCAAATTTGTGCACATTTTTGAGAGATGAGAGTGTTTGCGCGTCATGTGTTCTGTTGTCTTGTTGTATTCCCAGAGATGTGTTGCTCATTATTGCAAGGCTTATGGTGTCCTCTGTTCAGTCAACAGTTCAGTAATTGTCCCAGAAAAAAAAACTGTTTGTAGCACAGTCATCCATCAGTACAGCCTCCTTTTTTCTTTTTATTTTACACAGCCTCAGTTTGCCATGATGTCCAGAACTATGGATGCACATAGATTAGGTTAACTCAAATTAAGATAGCACTCCAGTATAAGATATGATACTGCCCTTTTCTCAATTTGCACTTGTGCGTTGATGGTGCTTAGTCCTCTTGTTTATGGGATATGGGATTAAATCAAAAGGCTTCCTTTCTGTTAACAGGTGTCCTCGAGGAAGACGTTTCATGAAATGAGCCTCTCGCTGGTGCTGCTGGGTCTGCATGGCTTTCCTGGGTCGGCCCTTGCGTGTAAAGGCCATGTACCAGCCTTTGTACTTAGCATTCTGCAAAGCCGTGTAGTTATTTTCCAGAACGATCTCAGTGAATATGCAGTCCCTGCCACGGCCCTTCCTCTGGCAACAAAAAGAGACAGACAGCGGAGGACTGAAATGACAAACTCAGAAATCTGCTATTCAAGCCTGAGAGATTTATGAGGCTGAGTTTTGTTCACAGGGCATGATGGGTTTACCTGTGATATGATTAGCGCCAATTTAGATGTCTATGTTTTATTAAAATCATACAAGTATGACTTCATCGCATTCAGCACCTGGCAGATTCTTTTATCCAAAGTGACTTACAGTACATTGCATTCAAGGTACACATTTGATCAGGTTCTTGCTTTTCCTGGGAATCGAATCTATGACCTTGGCATTTCTAGTGCTCTACTGTTTGAGCTATAGGAATGTATCTTGTAGATATATAATAGAAAAATAATTAAACATAAGCCCACTAACAATTACATTTTCATGTTTATGAAAAAAAAAAATAGGGCAGGGGGGTTAAACTCACCCGTCCAATAAGCTTGCCTCTCTTGTTCATGCATATGTAGTATCCTGTTTTTGCTCCTCGGATTCGAACCCGGCTTCCAAACGTGTCGGTTTCCACAACAAGTTTAGCTGGAAATGTGACAAATTTTGTTACTTTTACACATCACTTTCAGGTGATATATACAATGAATGATGCTTCTGATTGTGTACTGGAGAGTTTATGATTTGCATTGTTGTGATGTAGTGTGTGAACAAAATATAGAGTGCTAATATTGAGCTTAGATGTGTGAAGGGATATGTGTGTGTTAGGCCAAGACTACAAAGAGTAAAAGTAAGAGTAACAAAGAAAGGTATAAACCAATGACGCTGACCTCACTTCTCTTCATAAATTGACTCGTACTTTGAGTTGTAAAGCTATGAAAATTCCTCGTAAAATGGCCCTTCAAAAAAGTGGGCAAAGTGGATGGACTGCACGAGTGGAAAGATGGCTAGAGACACAGAAACACATTGGTGACAGGAATTCATTCCCAGCGGACGGGATTCTAACCACTGTTTTGTTTGGAGAAGAAGTGCCGTAGCTCACTTAAAACAGGTGCCTTACTGTATAGCTTTAAAATGACATCGAGTTCAAGTTAAAACCAGATTGACTTTTCATTGCCTATTTGCAGCATCGAGGAATCATATATTTAGCAGAATAAAAATACTCATGTAATTTTGGTTCACACATAATACAGGAACATTTGCAATAAACATTTGTTTTGGAAGACATGAAAGATGAAAAATAATGATGTTAGAAAATTGCATGTCATACTTCTATCCTACAACTTTTATTATATGGAGAACTATTCAGGAAACGTTAAGACGGCAGAGGTAAGATGAGTACTGATGTGTTTTCCAGAAACGAAACGGGTTTCTCTTGAGATTCCCAAACTCGACAATATAGAATTCATTTCAAAGTATGCAGGTTACTTTTTGGCAATGGCATTTACTGGACATTCTTTTCAAGTAACCTGAGGTGATATCCTCAACTGACTGTTCTGTCCTATTGTTTAAAGCTGACAAAGTAAAATAACAAATAAAAGTGCATCTGCAAAGATTGTGACTTGCCATGAATATCTCCATCCTCGCCATTGGCATTGACCCTCTTATTGCCCAGGACTTGTACATGTTTTCCGCTGGTCCGGCTATAGAGCTGATAAGTCCTTGTTAATCTCCGACTCATCCTGTCGGATAGACGACTCTGCTCCGTTACGTGGTGCTTAAAATTGGGTACGGAGATGGACTGCATCGTCATCTATGAAAATGTGGCAGAAGAACATGCAGATTCTTGGTGTACTATATTACGAATATTGATTCATTGTGTAGGCTATATTAGAACAATGATATAAACATTATAGACGGCACTCTTAGTCTTAAGTACAATCAATTATTTCTCGACGGATTCAAATAATGATATGAAATAATGACTCGAGATGGTTGGCATTCTCAGGCCAATGAGGGTTCGTTTCTACCAACACTGATCTTTCACCCCTGTCTCTCGGGTCTTTTCCCATAATGATTTTCTTTTGTAAGTCAGCCATGTGCCTTGCCCACATGTTAGAGCCATTACATTTAAAGTGAGGGGTTTACGCCTTTTCAAGATGTTTGACAATTTGCCAATGACTCTATTAATAATGAGTTGTTTTCACGGTTATAACACATTTACTACACACACATAACATCACAGGATTAATGTGCGTAAAATACTTATCGTTTTCAGTGTGTCTTGCTGATGTTTTAAGTATTTGAAAAATATTTGAAGGGGAGACGGAGTAGTGTTGTAACATTTTTTTTGTTTCAATGTCTGTGACTGTTTTGTTTTGCGTTATGTGACTAAAACTTTGACACATTATTCCCATTTACCTACACAAGTTAAAGAAATGTATAACTATATGAATTATTTATAATACATAAACTTTAATGTCAGGCACAAAAAGTGTTGCTGTTGCAAACTAAATCTACAATAGGATGGGGTGAAAATTATTTTAAGATTTTTATTTTGTGCATTTATTGTGGTATCCAAACATTCTTGTTCAAAATATTTAGCCCATGCATGATCACCCCACACAATTTATTTGAAAAATGTTAAACATAAAATAAACAATTGATATGCTTACAACTCTAAAAATGAAGAGTGTGTTTGTCAACTAAGAGTCACACCTGTCTTTGCGGGTCCAATAGAAAACACTGGAAAGTCATGTTACAACCCTCCCAGTGATTTTATTTTTATTTTTTAACATGTAGGCTAGATAAAAAGTGTATGTGGATGTTGTATATCAAAGTAAACTAAACCACATGCTCAAACATGAAACTGTCATTTAACATCCACTAACACTACAATTATAACCAGATCTAAACATTTTACTTTTAGCCTACTTTATTTTATTTTATTTTTATTTTTTTACAGAGACACTTACAACTACAGGTCATTTCACCCATGTAGCCCATTTTGGTTAAACCGGTGTTACTATATTGAAGTTTCTCACCAGTGTATACATATTTGAGATGCTTGTTTGAGAACACTTACAATGCAGAAAACTTACCTGCGTGTAAAAACACAGAGTCGTGAATTGAAGGAATCTGAAATACAAAAAATGTGGATTATTATTATCACAAAAATAACAGTTTAGCAATGACACGTATATATTAAGTATTGTACTTACAGGTAACCTAACCTCGATGATTTCAGCCTCATTGTGAGATTTCCAAACCCTGTTTGATTTTTATCCCAAACGATAAGTTCTTCATTAATTCCTATGTGCGTGTATTTTATAGTGTGAAGATGCTCGGTCCATTTGGTACTTTCAGCAAAAATGACAGTAAATAAACTGAGTGACGGGACAAACTATTACCTTTTGGTATCGACAGAATAGGCTATTATGATTTATTTATCCACTGAGTCCATGTCAAACGAATCCGTCAAGCAATTATTCCTGAAAGTTCAAGACACATTACAGGCAACTGTTTTCACAAACATAATTCATGGTCGATGTCCAATTACAGCGAAGATACGAAAAATAAAACATTCTTCATTGAAAGTCACCGACAAGATCCGGCAGCGTGCGCGCGCCCATGTTGAGACTATGTTTCCACACGGTATCTCCAGTTCTGTACTGCTAGCCTAAATGTCATTGGAATAAGTCACATTCGGGTTGATAAAGTATTATGTTTCCCTGACGAGAGGCTGAGAGCAGAAGCCTCACTGTGTCGGTCTCCACTTTCAAACTCTCAATGTCAAACCCACTCTTCACGTGCGTTACCTTAGGCTGAAGCGCCATCCCACTCGTCAACATTTAAACTCCTTCAAAAGACATTCGTTTAGCCTGAATCATTACAAGAAGAGTTTATGCTATCCAGCTAAAGATACACTCACAAAATCTGAATCCAATTTTTACTCACAATTTTATGAACAATGAAAAATGCAAGTTATGTCGTTCATTGGCGATTATCCTAAGCAAATAAAGTATTCGTTTGAAAATGAAATGAATTTATTAAGCTTTTTAGATAAGAATTATATTAAGAAAAAACATGGTTATAGGCTAATTAGCATGGGCTAATACAAAGAACATAATTTAACCTGGCACGTTGTCTTAGATTTGTCTAAAACATATTTTAAACAAGAGTTTGTGTCTAAGCTTCATAAAATAATGTGTACAAAACATTTAATAATCATAACTATGTAGCCTATATACTTTATGATATATAAATGGTCTAGTAGCACTATTAGTAGCTATGTTTGTTCTGTCTCATACACATCATGAAATCAAAGTAGCCCCATTTTGAATTACAGATGTATTTAAATTATAGGCTAGTTCTAAAAGTATAACATTAAATAAAAAAAGGAACTTTTTCTTCTAAAAAATCACAGTAATAAAAACATATGATGACACATATTATGACTGTTACATAAATTGTAATTAGTTTTCATTTGCAATAGCCAAAAATAAAACATAGCCTACATTTTTACTTGGCAATATTATTATTATTAGAAAAGTCATGCCATTTGTATTGAACTATCCAATGAGTAACATGCTTGCTTTCTTAGTTGGGGAAAAGAGTGATTAAAAGGGTTAACAGCACTTACACAAAATATAATAACCTGAAAACCCACATTGTCACCTTTTCATCATTAAAAGCATGCACTTTTTTGCAATAGTTAATGTTATGTGCATTTTTAACATTACAAAATCATGACAGACTTGATGCTCATTACATATTTTACGCAGGCTATATAAAAATAAATAATTTAGCACTGTCTTTACTCGTTTAAGTACACCTCCCTAAGAAATATATAAACTAGTCTCTAAGTTTTTTGTTTTGTTTTTTTTTAGGGGAAAAATTCTCCCACAAGGAAAAGGAAAAATTGCAAAGATTCTGGTATGCACTGCATAACATATACAACTACATTAATCTATACCCTGGCTGCCTGTAAGACTTTACTTCATGTGCCTTTGTGGTGACCCCAGTTTTCTTTTTTCACTCACACATACATGTGTAAGTAATATACGCTCCATGAGAGTACTGGACTTCAGATTTTTAAAACATCTAATGGCTAGACATGTGCTGTCAGTACTACAGCTTAGTTAACTTTGATACATTAGATCCACCAAAAAACTAAGCATTTAAACCGTTCAGATATTTCAGGGAGGAATTGAAGTCTTAGTCTGTAGCCTATATTTGTAATATTTCAAGGTCATATCATGCTTCAGTCAGCATACACTAAATGTATTTGTTCAATGCTGATGTGTCACAAAGATGCAATGGCCCTGGATTATTGGACTAGAAACCACTCATATCAATTGCATATTGAGATGTCTTTATCTGCTATAGTGTTTCTTTCTTTCTTTCTTTCTTTCTTTCTTTCTTTCTTTCTTTCTTTCTTTCTTTCTTTCTTTCTTTCTTTCTTTCTTTAAATAAAGGTTTTACTCTTGCCTTTAATTCTCATATCCTGCAATGACCATAACACGGATCACTGCAAGTTCCACCAATCTCAGACTGAGACTATAATACCCATGCATGACTCAAACCCCACAAAAGAAGGATTTTCACACCTTTGAGCACTCATATGAACGACAAAACAGCTGCTAAACAGCATAGAAAATGTCATTATTGGTATTGGTTTAATTCTGTCCCATAAATTACTCATATCAGCCTATGTGTTGGCTTAGAGGGTGAGAATGTACCTGATTGATTAGTTCCAGAGGGAGACGGCCACAAGTGATTTTGCCACATGGAATGATTCAGTGCACTAGTTAGTCAGGTCCTTTCTCAGATTCTACACTGGATTTGTGTGTTTAAAACTTTTGTCCATGTCCTATCTTGGATTTATTATTTATTTTTTTAAGGGACAGAGTCAAAGTAAAGAGTACTGAAAGTAATGAAAGTCTTTTGATTAAAATTGTTTAGAATATGCTTATTTATGAAAACAGAAACTAGTATAAATGAAGATATTTTGTGTGATTACCTTTATTCAACTTTGTTACTGTCACATGATCTGTTTTGATTTAATTTTAGGCTATGTTTACACGGAAACGATTCTGAAGAGAAAACGCAAAAGTGGTGTTGCGTCATCACTTTTCATTCTGCGTTTAGACGAGCGTTTTGTGTGGGAAATCCACGTGCAAATGGTGACGCAAAAGTGTGTGGAATTCAATGTAGTATGCACTTCAGGCAGCTAGGAGTGCATACTACAAAAACACAAAGTCCACACCCCTGCGTACAACCTTCACTGTCAAGCAAACTTTTGTGTTTTACCGTGTACACGGGAACGCGGCGGTGGAGCATTTTTAAGATTTCCACTCTGGAGGGTGGTTTCACTTTTTTGTGTTTTTAAGCCTCAAAACGTGTAAACAAAAGGCACATCCGATAAAATATTTTTACGTTTTCACCAGCGAGTGTTCTCGTGTAAACAGGGCCTTAGTTCCTGTACCTGTTTCCTTTGTTCCCCATTATTAGTTTCCTTGGTTACTGATTATTGCACACCTGTTTCAGATTCTGTTGTTTAACCTCCCCTCTGTATTTAAGCCTTCAGTCCTCAAGTTCTTTGTTTGGTGTTGATTTTTATCTAGGGTATACATGGTTGTTTTGCTAAACTTTCTCCTGTAATCTCCTGCGTGTTCTGTTGTTGGATTTTTGATTAAAGACAGTTTTTGTTATTCTTCATCATCATGCTCTCCATACAGCCACAGTGTGTGACTGTTACATGGACGAAATTTCTTAGATGACAATCGAATTGATGTCTGGACAATATTTGTACAGCATTTATTAATCTTAATAATTCCATCATTTATTAATACATTTTAAAAGCAAAAGTTGTATCTGTAAAAGGAATAGGAATCTGTTGTTTTACTCACCCTCATGTTCTTTGAAACCCCTAGGCTTACATCCAGCTTCAAAACACTTATGAAAATATTTCTGATATATTTTTTTTATGCATTCATCAATCGAGTGGCTTAGTCCAAGTCTTATGAAGAAACATAATTGCTTTATATCATTAACACATTTAATTTAGGCTTCTATTCATACATTGATCAAAAGACAAACAGTATAAAGTGCACATCAGAAGAACAAACCTCTGTCATGATTGTTAGATCCACTGTCTTCCTCATGTCTTGTGTGTGTCCGTACTGATTGTTTCGCGTGGGCGTTACCACTGATTATTGATTCCCTCATTAGTGCCAGCAGCATCCCATCTAGCCAGATTTAACGCCTTGTGTTTATCAGATCATTGTTGGAGCCTGTTCCCTATTCTCCTCATGTGTTCCTGTTTTCTGGATTTGTGCTTCTCCAGTTCCTCACAAACTTTTCCTGGATTTCGCCACCCACACCGCCAGTTCCCCCCACACAACCGGAGCCAAGTAATCGACCTGAGCCATGGCAATCTGTTCCTGAGAGCTATGTTGGTGAGCCTAATTTTTGCAGAGCCTTTCTTACCAGGTGTTCAATGCATTTCTCCTTACAGCCCAGGACTTTACAGAGAGGGAGGTTTCCCGGGTAGCGTTTGTACTCACTCTGCTTACAGGTCAAGCGGCATTATGAGGAAAGGTGGTGTGGGAGAATCAAGACTTATGCTGTGCCTCATTCCAGGCACTCGCCACCGAGAAAAGAAGAGTTCTTGACTGTGCAGGGCAGGCAAGGAAGCTGCCAGACTGCTTGCAGATCTCAGGCAAGGTGTTCGTTCGCTGATTACTCCATCGAGTTCTGCATGTTGGCAGCAGAGCGCAAGTGGAATGAGGAGGTGCAGTGGGATATGATCCTGCATGGGCTGGCCGACCGTGTTCAAAGAGAAATATATATACTGGACCCTCCCCAGAATCACAAAGGAATTATTGATCTGGTCCCTACGAGTAGATGCTCGCCTCAACCGCATTGAGCAATACACTCTCCCTATCCACACTTCCGGAGGTACCGAGGGTCGGTTGGCCAGTGAGGAGAACATGGTCGGTCCCGTTGTCGATCACGAGCCCATGCAGGTGGGGAGAGCTCGGCTTTCCCGGGAAGAGAGAGAGAGGCATAGATCCCACAGTGGTCTGTAATGTGGGAGCAAAGACATTTCTTACATTCATGTTCGGTAAAAGAGCCAGCTCGATAATAATGTAGAAGGTACTATCAGGTGGGATCTCCGCTGAGAAGTCCTTACCATCAACTCTTCTTCCGGTAAGACTGGGCCAACCACACTCACACCTGCCAAGCCTTGCTGGAATCCAGAGCTGAAGGTAACTTCATAGACCTTCACTTTGCCTACAAGTTTCAGCTCCCCATCACACCGCTCACCCATCATATCTCTGTAAATGCTCTCAATGGACAAGAACTCCCCAGTTTATTGCTTACCACCGGTCCCATAACCCTCATTACGGTCAACCACACTGAGAATCACATTTCTCCTCATGGACCTTTGGCACCCGTAGTTTTGGGCCATCCTTGGCTGGTGCGGCACAATCCTAGAGTGGACTGGGGCTTGAACTCTCTATCTCTATGTGGAGTGAACATTGTTATGAGTCCTGTCTTGTGTCTGCTTGTCTGTCTGTGTCTGGTTCTGTGTTTCAGGAGAAGGCAGCAAGTTTATCCAACGTGCCCTTGGGGTACCTTGATCTGAAGGAAGTGTTCAGTAAGTCCCGTGCTGCCTTCTTCCTCTACATCGTCCCAATGACCGTGCCATAGATCTATTGCCAAGCTAATTTATTTCTCCGCCTAAGGGCAAACTTTATTCTC